AGCCTCGAAGCGATCGATACGAACCCGCACTACTTTGCTGCTGGCGACTCGGCGGCGGCGGGCGGGCAGAAGCAGAACACTAAGAAACCCCGCTTGTCGAAGCAGACGTGTTTCGCAAACAAGTGAGCATGCGGAGCGTCAATTTGACTCCGCGCCCAATTTTGTTTCAGACCCTGTGGTCTGGCCCAGACCGTCTGGGCTCTCCCCGAACTTCGGTCTCCAGAGCTCGCAGCTACTCGAATGTCTGGATTAGTACGGGACAATGGAGGACATCAGGAGGAAGAGGAGGAGGAGGAGGAGGCGTCTTTCGAGTTGGAGTGCATGTACATAGTACTACTCGTTGCATCGGGGATAGCACTGAGGCTACTCCACAGCTGCGTTTGGTTGCCGACGGGCCGACGGGGGGATACATATCGGCGCACGACGCCTCTCTGTTCGTTCGCGGTTTCTTGAGCCGATGTGGTTGACAGCGAGATAGTGAGAGCAAGGTTCCTCATCGTATCGTCCTCCTCCGCTGCCCTCCTCTCTGCCATTGCCCAGCCCATCCTTCTCTTTCCTCCAGCTCCGACCGACGCTGCCGTCGGCATCGTCGCGTCGGCGCTGACGTTGGTGCTGCTGCCGCAGTTTTTTTTTGTCATCCCCGCGTCGGCACTAGTTGAGTTCGGTTCGTCTTGGAATCATGTTTTTGGAGGCCCATGGTGCAAATGTCGCTGTTTCGGGTGCGCATGTTATTCAGTAGGCTGTCGCCGACTTTCAACCAGACCACCCCAAAAACAATTGACAAGGCAATCGTTCGCAGCGCTGGAAAATAAAAAACACCATACGAAAAAAAAAAAAAACAAAACACAACATCGGTTTCCTAAGTAAAATCGAATCGGACGCCGCGTAATTAAAAAAACAGCATCCACGATGTTACAATTCATCCGATACTGACAGCGCAAACCCATATCATCACGTTGCAAATCTATATGACGTCGAAGGCCCAAAGGGCCAGAGTCAATGTGGCGATCCTTGCAAAACGAGCTCACGCAACCTCCTCAGTCTAGTGCGAATCTGTGTGACAAGTTGAGCGCCTCTGGATTCCACAGGGGACACAACAAACAAAATCCTCCACATAATTGCCATACTAATCCCAATGGAAAGAAGAATGCCTTTAGATTCAAAGGGAACAGATTGGTATATATACTTAGAATGGGAGGCCGTACGGATAGAGCGCTTTTGGATTGCTTTTCGCATCGAATTTGAATAGGAATGGGTTCACAGAAAGCGGATTTTATAGATTTGCCAGAGGAACCCCTATGGAAAGTGAAGCGGCTTTGGAATCGACAGAAACATAGTTCCCACACCGGTTCTTAATCGGAATCTCGATGGACTTAAGGACCCGTGGGATCCCTTGGGAAACAAAAGAAGATATTTGGGGAGTTTGTGCGGATCGTTTGGGGAAACCCTTGGGGTCCAAAGGGAAACGCTAAGGATCCCGAGGGGAACACTTGGGACAGTTTACGAATCCCTGGGGATCCTGGGCGGACCCCAAGGGAAACCTTTTGGGATCCTTAGGCGTCTGACAGCGGATCCCGGAGGACACCTGAGGGATCCTTGGGCGGATCTTCAGCGGATCCCCAGGGAAACCGTCAGGATCCCGCGGCGGATCTTTTGCGGATTCCTGCGGGAACAGTGACGGATTCTTCCGGATTGTTCAGGATTTTTATTGTTATCACTATTATTGCTATTACGATTGGTATTTTTACTTTTACTGCTACCACTCCTATCAGTACAATTATTAGTTTTGACTACTACGATTGCTACGACTGCTACTACTGCTATCATTCAAACTACGACTACGACTACTACTACCACGGCGACGACTACCATTACGACTACGGCGACTATTACCACTCTACTACTATTATTCTATTACTACCACTACTACAACAACTAGTACTACCACAAATGCTACTACGACCACTCTTACGACTAGTACTACGAATACTGATTTTTATAGTTACGACGACGACTACGATCACTAGTAGTAGTAGTAGTAGTAGTAGTAGCAGTAGTCGTAGTAGTAGTAGTAGTAGTAGTAGTAGTAGACGTAGTAGACGTAGTAGTAGTCGTAGTAGTAGTAGTAGTAGTAGTAGTCGCAGTAGTAGTAGTAGACGAGTACTACTACTAATACGACTACGGTTGCTACAACTACGAAAACCATCACGACGACTAAAACTACTAAGTGCTACTCTCGTTACCATTTACGTTTGATAATATGATTTTTAAAAGACGATTCATACTTTTACTACTGCAACTACCCCCTGACTACTTCTTCAACTACCACTACTACTATTATTTCTACGACTACTACTACTACTACTACGACTACTACTACTGCTACTACTACTTCTTTCTATGACTACAGCTTCAGCTACATCTACGACTACCAGTGTTGTTTCCTTCAACTATTTCTCCTCTTCCTCCTCTTACTACTACTACTACTACTACGACTAGTCCTACTGTCAATGCTACCTGTGTTATGCGTATTACGTCTGCTACTACTACTTTCACTACTACTACTACTACTACTACTACTACTACTACTACTACTACTACTACTACTACTACTACTACTACGACGATTATGGATTTTATTATTACTCTTACTGCAACTACGACTACGACTACTACGATTACGGCCACTACCATTCCTACCACTACGACTTTCCTACCTATTACTACTCCTGCTAGAACGATTACTACGATTATTCCCTACCTAGGCTCTGCCTAGAAAGGTTCTTACTCTGTTGGCTTAAAGGGGCCGGGCAGTGGAAATCGCCCCAGGCGGTTCCCCTAGTCCCTTGGGAGCCAAGCAAAAGCAACAGCAAAGGTAAAAGCAAACACGCGATTCCCCCAGTTGCGTTCCCTGGGTGCCGAGCAAAAGCAAAAGCAAAGGCAACATTTAAGGCAAAAGCGAAGGCAAAGCAAAAGCATAGCATAGCATAGCGCAGCATAGCATAGCGCAGTATAGCATAGCCTAGCCTAGCCTAGCCCAGCATAGCATTGCGCAGCATAGCATAGCATAGCAGAGCATAACATAGCATGCCATAGCATAGCGCAGCACAGCATCCTCTATTGCTGCTGCTATAGCTGTAGATGTAGCTGTATGGGATAGATGTAGATGTCGATGTAGATGTAGATGTATGTGTAGATATAGATGTAGATGTAAAGAACTCCCCAGTGCCCCGCCGTCATCTCCGTGCCTGCTTGCGTTTGCTGCTGTCTCGGCGACTTGCTGCCTGCTTCTGCTGCTGCTTCAGTTAGGTCGTGGCGTCGGCGGTTCTGGCGCTACTACTACTACTACTACTACTACTACTATCGTTACTGCTACAACTACGACGATGAGGAGAAGGGGAGAAGGAGGAGGACGGCGTTTACCGCTCCTGCTAATGTTGCTTTCCTAGAGGCTCCAACTCCTAGGTATTGTCGCACGGGGATAGTTATTTGTGGTTGTACCAGCACTATTTCTAGTACTGGGACTACTACTAATAGCAAACCTCCCGTTACCAATACTTCTACTAATCGTATTAGTTCTACGACTACGATTCCTACGGCTACCGCTTTCTATTGTCACGACCACTACCACTACTATTACCACCGCTAGTACTACTACTACGACTACTACTACTACTACTACTACTACCACCACCACCTTACTACTACTACTACTACTACTACTACTACTACTACTACTACTACTACTACTATTGCTACTGCTACTACTACTACTACTACTACTACTACCACGACTCCCATTAATACTACGCTTCCTACTGCTACGACTACTTCTACTACTACTGCGACTACTATCACTACTGCAATTACATCAAGTACACTTGCTACTACTACTTCTTCGTCTATGCTTAACACGTTTACGACTACCACCACTACTACGATTCAGAGTACGACGACTATTACTACTACTAGTACAACTGCGACGACTACGACGGCGATGACGATGTCTACTATTATTTCAATTACTACTACTACTACTTCTTCTTCTTCTGCGACGACTACGACTACTACTACTACTCTACTACTGCTACTACTACTGCTGCTACTACTACTACTACTACTACTACTATTACTACTACTACTACCACCACTACTACTACTACTACTACTACTACTAGTGCTACTACTACTACTACTACCACTACTACTACTACTACGACTACTACTACTACTACTACTACGACTACTACTACTACTACTACGACTACTGCTAGTAGTACTAGTACTGTTACTACTACTACTATTATTACTACTACTACTACTACTACTACTACTACTATTACTACTACTACTACTACTACTACTACTACTACGACTACGACTACTACTGCCACTACTACTAGGACTACTACTACTTTTACTGCTACTACTACGGCTCATACGACTATGACTACTCATATATTTGCTTGTGTGTCCGTCTTATTTCTACTATCATTTCTGATCATATGATTGTGCATGCGACATACAACTCTCATCCGTATTTTTCATACAACTGCCGACCCTGATGGCGGGACCTCCCTGGGGACCCCCGCGACCCGTTTCGGGACCCGCCGGGACCCTGAGGCGGCGGCATTCACATTTCGATCCCGCCATCCCACTTTTGCACCCCCACCCCACCCCACCCCCCGGAGCAAAGTGATAAAGGGAAGGGAACCGACAAGGAAATCGACTTATCTACCACCTTGCTTTTCCTAGTGCATCAATACCTGTAGGACTGACGACGACGACGATCAGTACGACGGCACCAGCGTCTCTCACACGCCGAAGGATCGGCGGATTACTGGCAGTATTTATATTGAGAGCGATAACAGTGCAAAGGCGACGAGCAAGACGAGGACGACGACGGCGATGGCGAATAAGACGAGAGCGAGGCTCAAGATGGCGACCAACGCGCCGATGACGGCAACGGGGTCTGCCGAACGCTCTGCCGCCCCATCGAGGCATCGAGGTGTCTTTCGAGGTGAGGATCAGCGAGGAGGGCAAGCCGCGGGCCAACGAGATCCGGCCCGCTCCACCCCCGGGCCCGCCAGGCCCGGCGCTGGGAGGGGGGACATTGTCTCGGGGGCGGCAAAGAGGGGGTTGATGACTAGGGGGGGGGATGTCATGGCGGGGGCCCTGAGATCTCCCCAGACTTCATGGAGCTTCTTCTTATTTCAATGCGTTCCCTGGCCCACCCCTGGGCCGCGCACGTGCCGCTGCCCATGATTTGCGCCCCCTCCCCTCTTGGACGCCCCCTCTTGGCCGACCCCGATTGTCGGGAGGCTTGGGACGGGGATCAATGCAAACGGGGATCAGCCAGAGCGCCGGATCTTGCAGGATCCTTCAGAGCAAGGGTTGCACTGACCCGGGCAGGATCCTGCAGGATCTTGCCAGATCTTGCAAGGAGTGATTGGCCCAGGTTTGCCCTGACCTGGGTCAGTGCGTTTTGGACCTCGTCCGCCCGCGCTTCCTCCAGACAGTCGGCTCACGTCCTTGAGGAGAGTCGGTTTGGGGGTTGTGGTCATGACTGATCCGATCACCATGACCATCGGGCCCGAGATTGCAGGACCTCTCACAGGGCGAGTGCAATCGGTACCGAGGGGCAAACTGCGGTGTCTCGAGCTCGCCATCAGATGTTCGTCTGGCCCGACAGTATTTATGTATGATAATGAGAAGGTGGTGCGTCGTGGCTGGTACGCGCGGCAGTATTCATGTTGTGATAAGAGTGAGCTGAACAGTTTGTGGGCTGAGATCGGGGCTTTGGTTAAGTTCAGAGTCCCCAGCGATATCGTCGTCTTACAAGTCCCGTCGCACTTGGGGGCCCAAGACGCTTGTACCAGGGATATTGCAGGGCGGCTTATTCATGGAAAAGAAGGGGGCTGACGCCATCGCCTGCGGTGCCGCTGAAAGGTGTAGGTTGCCAGCATGTGTTCGTAGTAGGATCGCGGAAGTTGAAGGACGTGCGGCCTTGATCTGGCGGAGACTCCTTAGGGCGACTCTAGAGGCCACTGTTGCTGAGCGCGAGGCGGGGAGGATGGCCGAGCCCGGGTCTGGCGATCGTGTCCCGTCAGCTCAGGCTCCGTCGCCGCATTCCCCAGCGAATGTTGCCAGGTTTCAGACGCCTCACACGCTTAGCGATCTCGGTGTTAAGTGTTCCACGTGCCACAGCAGTGGCACGAAACCCACCATCCAAGAGTGGCTATTTTTCCCAACCATCCTGTGGTGTTGGGTCCTCGTTTTGAAGAGACGGTGCCCCGCGTTCTCCTTCCTTCCTTCCTTCCTTCCTTCCTCCCGCTGCCTCCTCCCCCCTCCCATCATCATCATCATCATCATCATCAACAACACCCAATTCGGCACACCCCTCACACGTTTCGTGGCTCCATAGGGAGCTCCACCGAAGGCCCCAGTGCCCGCGCCCGCATGCGTCACCCACCCCCATTTCGGCACACCCCTCACACGTTTCGTGGCTCCATAGGGAGCTCCACCGAAGGCCCCAGTGGCCGCGGCCGCATGCGTCACCCACACCCATTTCGGCACACCCCTAACACGTTTCGTGGCTCCATAGGGAGCTCCACCGAAGGCCCCAGTGCCCGCGGCCGCATGCGTCCCCCACACCCATTTCGGCACACCCCTAACACGTTTCGTGGCTCCATAGGGAGCTCCACCGAAGGCCCCAGTGCCCGCGGCCGCATGCGTCACCCACACCCATTTCGGCACACCCCTCACACGTTTCGAGGCTCCATAGGGAGCTCCACCGAAGGCCCCCGTGGCCGCGGCCGCATGCGTCACCCACACCCATTTCGGCACACCCCTCACACGCTTCGTGGCTCCATAGGGAGCTCCACCGAAGGCCCCGGTGGCCGCGGCCGCATGCGTCACCCACACCCATTTCGGCACACCCCTCACACGTTTCGTGGTTCCATAGGGAGCTCCACCGAAGGCCCCAGTGGCCGCGGCCGCATGCGTCACCCACACCCATTTCGGCACACCCCTCACACGTTTCGTGGCTCCATAGGGAGCTCCACCGAAGGCCCCAGTGCCCGCGGCCGCATGCGTCACCCACACCCATTTCGGCACACCCCTCACACGTTTCGAGGGTCCATAGGGAGCTCCACCGAAGTCCCCAGTGCCCGCGGCCGCATGCGTCAACCCACACCCCATTTCGCGGCACCCCCCTCACACGTTTTCGTGGCTCCATAGGAGCCCCACCGAATGCCCCGGTGCCGCGGCCGCAGAATGGGGCAACCCACACCCATTCTCGGCACACGCCCCCATCACACGGTTTCATGGGTCCATAGGGAGCTCCAACGAAGGCACCGGTGGCCTCGGCCCGCTGCGTCACCCACACCCATTTCGCTTCGGCACACACCATCACACGTTTCGGTGGCTCCACAGTTTGGACGCCCCGAAGGAAAGGCCCCAGTGCCCGCGGCCGCATGCGTCACCCACACCCAATTCGGCACACCCCTCACACGCTTCATGGCTCCATAGGGAGCTCCACCGAAGGCCCCGGTGGCCGCGGCCGCATGCGTCACCCACACCCATTTCGGCACACCCCTCACACGCTTCGTGGCTCCATAGGGAGCTCCACCGAAGGCCCCAGAGCCCGCGGCCGCATGCGTCACCCACACCCATTTCGGCACACCCCTCACACGTTTCGAGGCTCCATAGGGAGCTCCACCGAAGGCCCCAGTGCCCGCGGCCGCATGCGTCACCCACACCCATTTCGGCACACCCCTCACACTTTTCGTGGCTCCATAGGGAGCTCCACCGAAGGCCCCAGTGCCCGCGGCCGCATGCGTCACCCACACCCATTTCGGCACACCCCTCACACGTTTCGTGGCTCCATAGGGAGCTCCACCGAAGGCCCCAGTGCCCGCGCCCGCATGCGTCACCCACACCAATTTCGGCACACCCCTCACACGTTTCGTGGCTCCATAGGGAGCTCCACCGAAGGCCTCAGTGCCGCCGCCCGCATGCTTCCTAACCCAACATAAATAACACCAAATACCCGAACGGGAGACAGAATCACAGGAAAAAAAGAAGAAAAACCCCCCTCACACGCTTCGATGGCTTCCATAGGATAAGACTCCACCGACGACGTGCGGGCGCTAGTCCGGCCTGCGGCGCCGCGGGGGGGGTGAGCAGGCAGTGCGGACTTAGTGCGCCAGGCTGGAAACATGGGATACGGGTGACAGCTCGCGCCGGCGCGCGATGTAAATGCGTGGTCACACAGGCGAGGGCTCTGCCTGTCATTCAGTCGCTCGTCGACGGTGCATGTGTTCGGCGAGGTGCTAAAGACAGGGGGAGGCGGTGTGGCTGGTAGCCAGGAGAGTGAGCAAGCCATGCGCGACAGGCTACGAATAGTCGGGGAACGGCGCTCCGGGGGCGGCCAGACCTCCGGGGCGCGAGCAGTCCGCGGCCAGACCATCTCTCGGTCTTGTGGACTCTCGCCCTGGGCCGTCGGCTGCCCGGCGCGCTGCTCCTCGGTCGACGTCGCCCAGGCGTGATCCTGGATTGCGGCCGCCACGAGGTAGGGAACGGCAAGAAGGAGGACGACGACTGGTGGCTGGAGCTCTACGTGCTGCTCTCGCGCGCCACGCGCCACGAGGACCTCCTGCTCATGCGGGCGCCGCGCATCGAGTTCTTCCTGGCAGGGCCGCCGCAGGGCTTGCGGAAGCAGCTGGAGCAGTTTGCGGCGCGCACGAAACGGCGCAGGAGGGAAGCGACGGCCCTCGCCAGGGAGCTCGGCTTCACCGAGTTCATCCGCGAGGCCTGACCTGAGGAGCGTCTCCCCCGAGCCGCGCCTTCTCTCGACTGCCCGACTAATTGTTTGGCCTCGCGCCGCGGACGACCCGCGCGCGTCGCTGGGACCCTCTCGGGGCGACCAGCGCGCGTCGCGGGAACTCCGTGCTGCGGGGGGCCCGGCGCCTCGTTCGCCCGTCGTCGCTCTGCCCAGCGGTCAGAGACTTGCCCGCTATCAGCCAGCCAGTTAGCTAGTCAGCTCTCTCTGCTTCGCGCAGCGGACGACCCGCGCGCGTCGCTGGGACCCCGCCCGGGGCGACCAGCGCGCGTCGCGGGGACTCCGCGCTGCGCTGCGCCCGCAGCCTTGGATTTTGGAGTGCGCGGGCAAAGAGGAAGGAAAAGAAGAGCCGAAAGCGGGCGCGATCCTCGCAAGAGGCGCGCCGACATGGGCGTCGCGACGTGCGGACGCTGCCGTCGGGGTTCCCGCGGAAGCTGCCTGCGGCGGCCACGCCCAGTGTCACGTGTGTTCGGGCGGGCATGCTCGACACTTACACTAGGCGGTTCCATGATCGCATTCATGTAAATATATTCACTCGCGCGCAGACCCATTCATATTCATATTCCCTCGCGCTCTGACTCACCCGCGTTCTTTCTCTCGTAATCAGATCTATCGTATTCCGTTTGCGTTGTGTACCCCGCCACATTTCGGCACGCCCCTCGTGCGGTTCGTGGCCCCATAGGGAGCGTCACCAAAGAAGTTATTCACAATTGCGATACTCACAACTGCATATGGTTGGGTCCTTCGCCAGGATAATTTTCTTGTGCGCCTTTATAACATGTCGATTCAGTTATCTCTAGGGGGCCAAGAAGGAAGCTGCACCTAACTGGGGAGTGGGCTCACGAATCTCTTCGTGTGCTGTTCCATCAGTCACTCAGGGTCTGGATCAGTGGGGCCTGCGGGTTCCTCTTCTCGGCCAACCTGCACGCGGGGCTCAGGCAAACGTGTCTTGGTGTTGAATCCCTCACTGATGCCGGGCGGTCGTACCTTGACCACTTTCATCGAGGTGTGTTCCCCAAGTCTCTCAGCGCAGCTGAACGGGCTGCGCGGCGCAGCATTGAGGGGCAGTGCCCTCTTGTTGACATCGTCATGCTGCCATTCCTATTGTTATCTCTCCTCCTCCTCCTCCAGATCCTCCTCCTGATTTTCTTCCTCCTCCTCCTCATCCCTCAGTCCTCATTCCTCCTTCTCTTTTCTCATTCATCAGTCTTTCCTCCTTCCTCCTCATACATACTCCTCTGGTTCCTTTTCCCCCCTCTTTCTTCTTGCATCCTCCTCTTCCTCCTCCTCCTCCGCCTCCTGTTCCTCTTACTCCTCCTCCTCCTCCTCCGCTCCCGCCATCTCAAGACCATCCAGTGTGGCTCTCTGCGTTAAAGTTTGGAGTCCCCAGCGTTTCTTGGCCTTGGCTTTGGTCCCTCCAGTCTCCCTTCCTTCGGAGAAGCTTTCGGAGATCCGAGCGGATTTCTGGGATCGGCGCTGAGGCCCAGCGCATGCTTGAGAATTCCGCGCGGAGTTCTGAGAGTTTCGTAGCATTCACAGAAATGTTCGGAGATCCCCTCGGATTTCTTGGGTCGGCGCTGGGGCCCAGCGCACATTCGAGAAGTCCGCGCGGAGTTCTGAAAGGTTGAATGTATACCGTTTGTTCGTTCAACCTCCTCCGCATCCGTCGCTTTCCATATCATCGCCGCCTTCCTGCTTTGCCCCTCCGGGGCGCGAGGCGGAAGGCGGTGGCACTCCTCGCGTGCCCCGGCAGGCCCCTATGGCAGGCCGCCGATGGCGCCGTACGGCCCCCCGCCGATGGGCCCGCCAGTGGGTGCGCCCGAGCGCGCGACGCCGGGGCAAGACCTCAAGGATACAGAGGAGGTGGAAGAGGAGGAGGAGGAGGAGGAAGAGGAGGAGGAGGAGGCGGTAGGAAGGAAAAGGGAGGAGGAAGAAGGACGAGGGAGGAGGAGGAGTGTCAGGGGGAGTTAGAGCGGAAGGAAGAAGGTGGAGAGCAGAGGGTGAAGGTGGAGAGCGGAGGAGGAGGAGGAGGACGAGGAGGAGGAGGAGGAGGAGGAGGAGGGATAGATGGAAGAGGAGGAGGAGGAGAGGAAGGAGAAGGATCTGGAGGAGGAGGAGGACGAGGAGGACGAGGAGGAGGAGGAGGAGGACGAGGAGGACGGGGATCTGGAAGAGTGAGCAGGCGGAGGAGGAGGAGGAGAGGAGGAGGAGGAAGAGGATGAGGAGAGGATGAGGAAGTGGTCGGGGGTAGGAGGAGGGGAAGAGGAGGAGGAGGAGGAGGAGGAGGAGGCAGGAGTTGGAGGAGCGCCCTGCCCCTCCCAACCCGCCCATGGCGGGCCAGTTTTCCGCCCAGCTTGGCCGCGAGGGAGGGGGTTGCGCACTTGTCCCAGCCGCCACGACGCATGGCCGAACTCGGACAAACGATCATTTCGACACGTATTGAAATCCCCCTCCTTCTCCTCCTCCTCTTCCTCCTCTTACTCCTCCTCCTCCTCCTGGTCCCCCCTCCTCCTCCTCCTTCTTCTCTTCCTTCCTCCTCCTCCTCCTCCTCCTCCTCCTCTCCTCCTCCTCCTCCCTCTCCTCCTCCTCTCCTCCTCCTCCTCGTCCTACTCGTCTCCTCCTCCTCCTCCTCCTCCTCCTCCTCCTTTTCCTCCTCCCTTCACCTGTGCAAAGAAGAGTGTTCCGAACATGAAGATCGTTTAGCCACGCACTGAACATCCTCCCCCTCCTCCTCCTTCTCCTCCTCCGCATTCTCCTTCTCCGCGTCCTCCCTCCTCCCCTCCTCCTCCTCTTGCTCCCCATCCTCCTCCCCCTCCTTCTCCTTCTTCCTCCTCCTACTCTCCTCCTTCTCCTCCTCTTCTCCTCCTCCTCCATCTCTCCGCAGTCCTCCTCCTCCTCCTCCTCCTCCTCCTCCGCCTCCTCCTCCTCATCTCCTCCTCATCCTCATCCTCCTCCTCCTCTTTCATTTTTCTCTCCTCCTCTCCTCCTTCTCCTTCTCAGCCTCCTCCTCTTCCTCCTCGTCTCCGCCTCTTCTCCTCCTCCTCCTCCCCTCATCCGCCTCCTCCCCCTCCTCTTCCATTCCTCCTCCGCCCCCTCCCCTCCCCCTCCTCCTCCTCTTCCTCCTCCTTTTCCATTCCTCCTCCTCCTCCTCCTCATCCTTCTCGTCCTCCTTTGCTCATCCTCCTCCTCCTCCTGCGCTTCCTCTTCCCTCCGCTGCACAAACGACATTGAGTCGAAGTTGAAAGATATTTCTCCACGCACTGAACGCCTCCCCCTCCCCCTCCTCCGCCTTCATCCTCCTCCATCCCTCCTCCTCCTCCTCCTCCTCCTTCTCAGAATTCTCCTGCCCTCCTCTGCCTTCCTTCCTTCTCCTCCTCCTCCTCCTCCTCCTCCTCCTCATCCTGCTTCTCCTCCTTAACCTGCTCCTCCTCCTATTCCTCCTTGTTTCCCTTCACATGGACAAAAGAGGAGTGGGCCGAATTTGAAGATAGTTTCGCTACGCACTGACCTCTGAGCCTTACGCCTCAGAGGAGGAAAAGGTACCCATTCTGCTACCCTCACCCCGTTTTCTATGTTTTGAGCCTCGTCGGATTCGCCTCGAAATTCTGGTCAGAACGCACCCCAGGAAAGGTCCGGGGAGCAGCGGTGTCGGTACATTCGACCCGCAGAATAAGGATGGGCATCCTTCCCAAGGGTACCCCTGCATCCTTGGCCCCTTCGGTCCCATCCTTGGCCACTGTCGCTGGCCGTGCCCCGCCCGAAAAGCCTCAAATGGCCCTCCAAGGCCCTTGCATCCTTGCCGCGCATCCTTACAGTCGGGGCCCTGAAGAAGGAACCCTTTTCGTTGGGGAGGGGCTCCGTGTTGTTTGCCCTGGATTTTCCTTCGGTTTTCGATACGAAATCGAAGTTCAATTTGTGGGAAATAGGGGCCGCGTTCCTTATTTAGGGTTCCTTAGGTCAACGCCTCGACTGTATGCTGGTCGAGTCCTGTCTTCGCTACACGTTTCCTCACTGCCACAGGCGGGCCGGCCTGCCCGCGCGCAGCTCGGCGCCCTCCCCTTGTGATCGGGGCCAGCTTGACTGTGCACGGCGCGAGTCGAGCCGACACGACGCATGAGCATTTTGGCCGGGCTTACAATCAACCATGATAGGGCTGCTTTCCAAGGCTGCCCTTGCATCCTTGCCCCTGCGGTGTTCGGCATCCTTCGGCATTCTGCTGCGTTCCGCACGGAAAACGTCAACGTGGCGTTCCAAGGCCCTTGCATCCTCACCGCGCATCCTTACTACCCTGGTCGAGTGTACACCAGATTTGGGGTTCCTTCCGTTTCTCGTGCCTCCCCATCCGCTTTCTTGGTCGGAAGTCTACGGGCGTCGCTCCAGCATGCTATCACTATCATTATCTGTGCGTCGCCCCCCCCCCCCCGTGGGCGACGCGCGCACCGAGACATCTTGTGGTGTATGCGTCGTGGCGGGCGCTTTCTGGCCACACCGCTCGGGAAACGGTCCAAGATGGGTACTCCAGATCTCGTAATAAAATGGAGGGGGTCTGGACCCTCCAAGACAAGCCACTTCAGACCTCCCCCGTGGGAGAACCCTCCAGAACACCGTCCCCAGACCCCCCAGGCCTTCCAAGATAGCCTGGAAGAGACCCCCCCCGAAATGAGACCCCCCTCCCTTTTGCTACGAAACCTGGAGTGCACGATGCTATACGCTTGGGTCGGACGCTCGCCTCCCGAGGCGGGCGTGCAGCACGCTAGTCTCTCTTTCCGTGCGACCCCGGTCTCCCTCCGAGCCTCGGGCGAGCGGGGCGAGCGGGCTCCCTCCTCGGCGCAGGGGGCCCGGCGCAGGGTGGGGGAGGAGGAGGAGGAGGAGGAGGAGGAGGAGAGGGAGGAGGAGGAGCAGGAGAACAGGCAGGGGCACAGGGAGGGGAAGGGGCGGCGACGCAGCCAGCGCACCTGCACATCCGGCCTCGGCGGCCTCAGGAGACGTCAACGGCACCGTAACGGGTACTTACTAACGGGTACTTTGAATTTTTGCCGAAAGTTGCCGCTTTGGGCCTTTCTCTTGCATTGCAGTTTTGCCCACATCGGGAAGGGTTGGGTTCGCTGGGTCACTGGCCAAAGTACCCGTTAGTGGAGTCCCCGTTTGAGGGGCGCTGAAAAGGGGGGTCGCAGCAGACGGGGGTCCGTCCGAGCGCGGGAAGCTGCAGGAGCTTGCAGTACCAGGGGTGCATTGGCCCCGACTTGGGCGCAGGATCCTGCAGGAGCTTGCAGGATCCTGCAACGCCGGGACCCTGATCTGGACTGACCAGTGGTCAGTAGATCCCCAATGGCCGCAAGGGGAGGAGGGGAACGGATGAGACAGGAGGGCTGAGTCGGAGAACGGTACGACTCGAGTTCTTCGCTGGAACTCGAGCTTGCCGTGCCCGGCTTGAATTTTGACGGTCCAGTTTTCGTAGGATGTTTGTTTGCAGCGGGAGTTCGCGTCACATTTCATATCGGGTCTCGTCAGTTTCTTGACGGCCCCGTCAGGCCAACCCTAGTCCCCCGAACCCGAGTTTCACGTCTCCCCGATTGTCGAGACGTGGCGAAGCGTCCTGGCCTGCCTACGGGCCCACCAGAAGACAGTCTAAGAGCCTTCTGTGGTCTGCGCGACGTGTTCTTAGAACGTTTCTGTCTGATGTGGTCCTGCTTTTTTTTGCCCCACGCTCCCAGGGCACTGGTTCGGTTCTCAGCACGCCCGCGGGTTCTGAGGGCCTGGCGCGGCAGGCCTACAAGGAACTGCCGGGGCGGTCGCCCCCTCGGCAGGACCGAGGAGGGGAGCCTGGCGCGCGCAGGCCTGCCGGAGGCTCCCGAGGAGCCGCTGCAGCAGGAGGCCCCGGAGCCCCAGGAGCCCCTCGCGGATCGAGGGGGCTCCGCCGGCGTGGGCGGCACGCCCCGCGCCCCACGGCGCGGCGCCCGACGGGCGGCGCAGCAGCCACAGGGCGAGGGCCCGACGGGGTCGAGGCGGGCCCGGGCCCCCGCCTGGCCCGGTCCTGGCGCTGGGTAGTCGAAGGCCAGACTGTCAGATTGGATTGGGCCCCAAGGGCCAATCTGGCCCGGCCAAACTGGATGATTTGGGTTATTCGCCAGATTGGATTCGCGCTGGCTCCCTCGCCAGATTGCCCCCGTTTGCCAGATTGGGCCTGCCAGATTGGCGCCAGATTGGCTTCGACTACCCAGTGGCGGGCCCCCCGCCCCGCCCCCCCCCCCCGAGAGGTCTCGAGAGGTCTCGGCCTTTGTGGGCCCCGGAAGCGGCAGGGCCGTTTTTTCACCGTTTCCCAAAAAAGTGTCCCTTGAAAATGGAAACGGCAGAAAAACGGCGACCGGAAACGGCAGCAAAAACTGCTCCAGGATCGGAACCGGAGCCGGAACCGGTCCAAAAACGGAGACAGAACCGGTAAAACAACGGCGTCGGAACCGGCAAAAGAAACGGCAAAACGGAACCGGTAAAAAAACTGCCTTGTCGTTTCCGGGGCCCACGAAGGTCTCGGCCCCCTCCCCAGGGCTGGACCTCCCGCCCGACGCGCTCGCTGCTCCGGGCGGGTTGGGAGCAGGGGCGGGCCTGGGCCTCCTCGGGGCCCCTCTCTTCACCCCCCCTCCCAGGGGGGGCCTGTTTCCCACCACCACCACCATAAGTTGGAGGAGGAGGAGGTCCTCCTCCTCCTCCTCCTCCTCCTCCTCCTCCTCCTCCTCCTCCTCCTCCTCCTCCTCCTCCTCCCCCCTCCCCCCTCCAACTTCTGGTGGTGGTGGTGGTGGAGAACAGTCCCATCATCCCACTACAACCCGCCCGATTGTTTTGACTGCCCCGGGGCCGGGACGCGCCTCTACAGCGTGTTCCGTGCGGGCGCCGCCAGATGTTTTTTGGGGGGAGGGACGGGGCCGAGGGGTGTCCGCCCTGTTCCGCCCGCAGGTCCGCCCATGATGGGGATGGGCATGCCGCCCTTCATGGGGCCGCCCATGGCGGGGGCCGTGGGGGAGGATGTACAGTGGGGGCGCGCATCAAGAAACCATCTGCTTTTCGTCAGGTTACCCTGGGTTTCTTCGCTCCTCGCGCTTCGCGATGACTTTCCGCAGCCGTCCAAGGATCTGCTGCGTTCAGGGTGCTCCAGGTTTCCCCTCAGGTGCACCTCGCGCACGGGTTCTCAGGGTTGGGTTTCTTGCAAGGGTTTCTTGCGGCCGCGCCCGCACTGTAGTTGTCGGCGTCGTCGCCTTCTTCGCGCATCGCCCCCATCACTGTCTGCGTATGAGGAGGAGGAGGAGCAGGGGCATTTTGGGAAGGACACTGAGGGCACGGAGGACGAGGGACCAGTGTAAACCCAAGGCGCGCCAACGATGTTAGAATATACCCTCCCTCCAAGGTCCCTCTCCACAGATCCCTGCAAACAAATCGCTGTCACGGCTGGAAAATGCTGAACTGGAAGACAAGAATCCCATAATCTTCAATCGTGCCAAGACAGCCTTCCCAGGAATTCAGCGCCGCGAGTGCACTTGATGATTGCGTCCTGGCAAACCCAAGTCCCATATCGCGCCAGAACACCGTTTCTGGGACAACACAGGGAATCTACGTGACCGCTGCGTCCCGACAATCCCGAATCGCGCCAGAACGCCGTTCCTTGGACTTCAAGCAAACGAATCCCTGAAACTGTTGAAAACTGATGAGGCGAATGGGCGTGGCGCTAGGGCGAGTGCCACATTATGAAAAAGAGCCACATTACACCCCGGAAATGTGTTCCCTACTCGCACTATTGCGTACAAATGCGTGTGCACGTGATACTATTACTCGGCCACTCACGGCCGATCGTCTGCGTACAGCACTTCCGGTATCCAAACATGACTTCGTAAGTACGTCCCCTAGTACATTGAAGCATGTTTAACTGGCCGATCGGGCGACGATGGACACCCTTGCTTTGTTAATGCTGGCCGTGGGCTTTGGCGCACGTATCGTCGAATTTCCACGCGTTGTCCACAGGCTTGCACCATACATATATATATCTATATATACACATATACATATATGTATACATCTGTATATACAGATACAATTATGCATGATTGTATGCATACAGTTGTACATATATATGCATTTACATATACATGTACAAATACATAGTGTGCATCGAGCCCCCAAACAATGAACATAGACCTTAATGTTTATTATAGTTCCATACGCATGTGTAAAGAGTATGTGTATATGTTTTGTCTCTCTCTCTCGCTCTCTCTCTCTCTCTTTCTCTCTCTCTCTCTCTCCCTCTGTCCTCTCAATATCCTCCCCCTCTTCTTCCTCCTCTCCTCTTTTGGTGGGTTGCAGGTTTTTGTTTTCCTCTGGTTACCCTCTAGTTCTCCCCCTGCTCCTCCTCGTCCTCCTCCATATCCTCCTCCTCCTCCTCTTCCTGGTCCTCCCTCTCCTCTTTCTTTTTGGAATTGGTCCAAGGTTTGCTTGCTTGAGCCGTTCCTTCTCCTCCTCCTCCTCCTTCTCCTCCTCCTCCCCTCTCCTCTCTCTTCTCTCGCCTCTCCTCCTCTTCATCCTTCTCCTCTCGCCTCCTTTGGAGCTTTTTTTTCCTGTCGTTCCCTTCTCCCTGAGAGGATGACGTCGTTTTCCTGGTCCTCTTTGTGCAGGGCAGCATTCCTGCGCCGCAAACTATGCATTTAGGGGGGTGTTCCATGCGTGTCCATCGTTTGTTCCTGTCTGTGTGCCCTGTCGTTCCCGCGGGGGCCGCCCCCCGCCCCAGGACGAGACCACGGAAAACCGCGCGGAAACCATGAGAAGTAAGACAGCCCGATTGCTTTGCACAGGAAACGGTATGACACATCCGTCTCCGAGTGGTGGGGGAGGAAGAAAGGACCAACAGTCGTCGTTGTAGTATTCATTGTTTTGCAGATCGGTGTGGGCCCCCTTCCGCCCAACGTCGAAACGCCGAATAAGAACACGTGCGCAGTCCGTCTCCGAGGGCGGGGGGAGGAACAATGGGTAACTTGATGTCTCCCCCCTGATTGCAAGGATCTCCTTGTCGTGGCGTCTCCCCGATGGAATTTCTCTACTGTGGCGGGATACGAACGAATTCCTTTCGACACGAATTTCATACTGATTCTTTTTGTGGAGGTTTGCTCCAGGCGATTTCAAAAAACGGATTCCTCCTGTGGCGAGTTGCATGGGGATTCTTGCTGTGGCGGCTTACAAAAAGGGTTGCCCTCCTCTTCATCCTGCTCCTCCTCCTCCTCCTCCTCCTCCTCCTCCATTCCTCCTCTTCGTGAATACCTCCTCCCCGTTGCGCCCCAGGGTGTGTTTGTAGGGTGGGCAGGGCGTTCCGCCTGAGACCTCCCCACTTGTGGTCCTCGGGGTGGGAACTTGCAGCAGTCCCACGGACGAAGCTCGGGCCGCCCTCCAATTGAGGTTCTCGCCTACCTTGGTATCGCTCGGACGTGTGCATTTTTTCCTTCGGCGAGGGCCATCGAGAAGCATCCTTGATCATTTGGCGAAAAAATTAGCCTGACGAAAGACCCAACCATACATAGTTGTGAATACCGCAATTGTGGATAGATTCTTCGGTGGCGCCCCCGGGCCACGAAACGAGTGAGGGGTGCGCCGAAATGGGGGGGGGTGGAACCGCATGCGAGCGCAGCCACTGGGGCGCTCGGTGGAGCTCCCTCTGGAGCCACGAAACGTGTGAGGGGTGTGCCAAAATGAGGGGTGGAACCGCATGCGGGCGCAGCCACTGGGGCCTTCGGTGGAGCTCCCTATGGGGCCACGAAACGTGTGAGGGGTATGCCAGAATGGGGGGTGGAACCGCATGCGGGCGCAGCCACTGGGGCCTTCGGTGGAGCTCCCTATGGGGCCACGAAACGTGTGAGGGGTGTGCCAGAATGGGGGGTGGAACCGCATGCGGGCGCAGCCACTGGGGCCTTCGGTGGAGCTCCCTATGGGGCCACGAAACGTGTGAGGGGTTTGCCAGAATGGGGGGTGGAACCGCATGCGGGCGCAGCCATGGGGGGTGAGAACCGCAGAATGGGGGGTGCGGGCGCAGCCACGGAAACGCAGTGCGCATGCTGGCGCAGCACTGGGGCCTTCGGTGGAGCTCCCTATGGGGCCACGAAACGTGTGAGGGGTGTGCCAGAACGGGGGGTGGAACCGCATGCGGCGCAGCCACGGGCGGTGGAGCTCCCATGGGGCCACGAAACGTGTGAGGGGTGTGCCAGAATGGGGAGTGGAACCGCATGCGGGCGCAGCCACTGGGGCCTTCGGTGGAGCTCCCTATGGGGCCACGAAACGTGTGAGGGGTGTGCCAGAATGGGGGGTGGAACCGCATGCGGGCGCAGCCACTGGGGCCTTCGGTGGAGCTCCCTATGGGGCCACGAAGCGTGTGAGGGGTGTGCCAGAATGGGGGGTGGAACCGCATGCGGGCGCAGCCACTGGGGCCTTCGGTGGAGCTCCCTATGGGGCCACGAAACGTGTGAGGGGTGTGCCAGAATGGGGGGTGGAACCGCATGCGGGCGCAGCCACTGGGGCCTTCGGTGGAGCTCCCTATGGGGCCACGAAACGTGTGAGGGGTGTGCCAGAATGGGGGGTGGAACCGCATGCGGGCGCAGCCACTGGGGCCTTCGGTGGAGCTCCCTATGGGGCCACGAAACGTGTGAGGGGTGTGCCAGAATGGGGGGTGGAACCGCATGCGGGCGCAGCCACTGGGGCCTTCGGTGGAGCTCCCTATGGGGCCACGAAACGTGTCAGGGGTGTGCCAGAATGGGGGATGGAACCGCATGCGGGCGCAGCCATTGGGGCCTTCGGTGGAGCTCCCTATGAGACCACGAAACGTGTCAGGGGTGTGCCAGAATGAGAGGTGGAACCGCATGCGGGCGCAGCCACTAGGGCCTTCGGTGGAGCTCCCTATGGGGCCACGAAAGGTGTGAGGGGTGTGCCAGAATGGGGGGTGGAACCGCATGCGGGCGCAGCCACTGGGGCCTTCGGTGGAGCTCCCTATGGGGCCACGAAACGTGTGAGGGGTGTGCCAGAATGGTGGGTGGAACCGCATGCGGGCGCAGCCACTGGGGCCTTCGGTGGAGCTCCCTATGGGGCCACGAAACGTGTGAGGGGTGTGCCAGAATGGGGGGTGGAACCGCATGCGGGCGCAGCCACTGGGGCCTTCGGTGGAGCTCCCTATGGGGCCACGAAGCGTGTGAGGGGTGTGCCAGAATGGGGGGTGGAACCGCATGCGGGCGCAGCCACTGGGGCCTTCGGTGGAGCTCCCTATGGGGCCACGAAGCGTGTGAGTGGCGCGGCGCTGACGATGGCGATGGTGATGATCATGGTGATGCTGATGATGATGATGATGATGATGATGATGGTGATGATGATGATGATGATGATGATGATGATGATGCTGATGATGATGATGATGATGATGACGATGATGATGATGATGATGATGATGCTGATGATGATGATGGTGATGATGATGATGATGATGATGATGGTGATGATGGCGATGATGACGATGACGATGGCGAGGGGGAGGAGGAGGGAGGGGGCAGCGGGAGGAAGGAAGGAGACGCGGGGCACCGTCTCTTCAAAACGAGGACCCAACACCACAGGATGGTTGGGAAAAACATTGACGAAGCCGAAACAAACACTGGGAATGGACGTCCGAGCGATGGCCAGCTACGGGCCGTGCACATTCGTCCTAAGACTTGCAAGCGAATCACGGACCCAGGGCGGGTCGTTTTCAGAGTGTGGTTCCCGCCTGAGCGCCAGGAAAATTTGTTTTAACGAGTTGCAGTAGCTTCACGGATGGAGGGCGGTCCGCTTCAAAATGGGGCGCTCGCCGCAGCCCCGCGCACGGCCGTCTTAAGAAAAGAAGAGTTTCACGGATCGAGGGCGGTATGTGTTCAAAACGCGGTTCTCGATTTAGCGCCGCGTAGAGCAGCTTTAAGAGTTCACAGCAGCTCAAGGATCCTCATGGTTATCGTAC